AAAGTCTGTAATAATTGTAATTGAAACAATTGTATTTGAAATTCACCTCTTTCATAATAACCACAATTGACTAATACATATGCATTAGCAAAGCATACAGTGCAGTTTAAGTGCTTCACAGTATTATTAACAATAACTCAGATATCATTACTTACATCTAACATTCCATTTCCAGAAACAAGGGCCAAAATTTTTCAGCTGCCATTCGCTGTGCCAATACCTGAAATTAAAACCATTTTATAAAAAATCTTTAAAAGGATGATTCAAGCATTGAAAAGCCTTAGATCATAACTTGGTCACACACACACAAAATATTTTTATTATTTTTATAGGAATACAATAGTATGTTGTTCAGTGCTGAATTAATTGTTTAACAATGGAAGAGTGCCAATGGTTGTGAAATCACATCATCAAAAAAAGAGAATTTATAAAAAAACGAAATAAGGGGTTCTATTTTTACTGTATTTAAATTTTACTATTAAGAATGATTATCTACAAACTGTAATTCATATATGCATCTCTGGTACACACTTTCTACAACTTATCTTTGGCTACTATAGTCTGTTTAGTCAGCTTGACAGATACAAGCAATGATAACTGACAGTCAAAATTGTTATCTTGCCTTCCTGCTGCATGTGCAGTTACATGTATATGTTTTTCTATAACTTACATGATGGCATATATACTTTACACTGCAGAAATATGCAATTTTCTGAAGTACTAATTTGCAATAATACATAGCACACATGAAAACAATCTAAGTATACTTTTTAATATTAAAGGGCAATGTTATGTAATCATTCATGAAAAATTACATATATCAAAATATACTTTATTGTTGGCTTTAATATTACTTTAGGATTATAAAAAATCATAATCAATTCCTACATGCTGTACAATAATCTACCTTTTAAAAATAAAAATTGTTACATTTGATATTTCATCAGCTTTTATATTCAATAGATACTTAATAATATAAGAAGTTAAATAAATTTGAACCAATTATATTTTATTTTTACCAATTTTTTACAGTTATAACACAATTCATTACATTACAAGTTCATTAACATTATTTTACATTAACTTTAAAAAAAAAGTTTCAACATATTTTGAGATAAAAATATGGTCACTTCTAGAAAATTAGTAAAGTAAAATTGCCCAAGTACATGTATCTTGCATCAGTTTTAGCTGTAATAAAATTATGCTGTAAATACTAATAGTTTTCTTCTTGAAGTTTCTTGAAAATGGTGTTTCTTTTCAAAAACATAAGAACAGTAAGGAAACAAATCCTTTATTAAAATGTTTTTTTTTAATTTTACATTATATATAAATTTAGAAAATGTTAAAAAATTAATGAATTGTATGTGTGTTAAGAAAGGTGATACTGTGACATAGTATATAAACATACTTGCACTTATACCATATAAAATTTACTGAAATGGAAAAATATATACACACCTGAAAGCAATCTTCTAGTAGCACTTGGTTTGGAGCTCTTGCGCTATCCACTGGGGCATTTGTATTTACGCTCAATTCCTTTACCCATTTTTTGCACAGTTCAATCGAACTTATACTTGATAGTATCATTGAACTTTCCAGTTGTTGAAGCAATAAAGGAAATAAATCTTATTTTAAAGCAGTAATTATTTTACATTTCAGATATACTCTACGAAGATTTAAACACCAGTTTTGTTTACAATCAGATGGCGGTACATCTACAATATACCATATTTATCTCCTTTACAAATCGTGCCAACGTAAAAATTACACCAAATTTTTTGGGGGGGGCATGCGCAGTATGCGATATTCGCTTAACACTGCTGAACTCAATGTGCAGTCTGCCATTATGCGATCGGGCCTCGAACCCCGAACCTGTGGTGCTGTTGAGTGACATGCTAGCCACTGCACCAATATATAATACAATGCCCATGATTAAAGGTGGCATGATTTATAAGTTTAAAAATGCACATAATATTTTTAATCTTGGTTAAATTTAATTTTAATTAATTTGTTGCAAAAATTTTGGCACAACCTTTGCAAATGAAACAGAATTTTTTTTCTGTGATAAACTCTCAAGTATGCCTCCAGACATAATCCAACCTCATACTCATGACACCAAATGCAAGGCCCTTTATGCATTTTCTTCCCATTTTTAGCTTTGTTATTAAAACAGTAAATGGCACACTGTCTTCTAGTTTCCTTTTCTTGGTGATGTATGGCTGGCAAAACACCTTTCGACAAAGCTAATACAGCACATCACTGGAATATTTTGATGACCACATTCGTAGCTTTTATGTGATTCATATTCAAATCAAGGGGGGGGAAATATTTGCTCACACTTTTCATGTGAATCATAGCAGAAAATAAATTTGATAACCCTGCTCAGATTGGAACCACATGCAAAGTCTTAATGTTATTTTCTAAAAACATATTTTTATTACAATAGTTCTGATTTTATGATAAGAAAATAACATTACAATACAAAGTCCGTAATCCGGACTCCTTGGGACTTCAACGACAGATCATCAATTTAAATCTCGTAAGACAGCATGCAGAAATTATACAATTAAAAATATGAAACCATAATTTATGAAATAAAGAGCAATTATGATCTAAAGGGTATCAAAATTTAAAAAAATAGCTTAATATTTATTTGTTTATTTATTAAACATTTCTTTCAATGTAAGTTGTTTAAGTTGCTTCGTTTTCTATGCTAAACGTGCATATGTAAACCATACAAAAGAAAAATGTTTGTAGCTTTGAGGTCTGGATTATAGATCATTCCGGATAATGGACGTCCAGATTACAGACATTGTATTGTATACCATTGCTTAAATGTTATGAAATTTGCAAATCACCAGAAAAAACAATTTGCATTATGGTAAAATGAAATAATGCTATCTATTTAAGAAAAGGCCCAAATTCATGGAAAACTGTCTTATATTAATATTATGTATGAGAAAAACCACAAAAGCTCTTATGCAGCTGCCTACCAGCACGCAAGCAGTAACATTACTGAACATTATAAGTTTCACTATTTACATCCTGGCAAATGGGCAGCTCACTTGGAATTTTCATGCATTTCCCATGTATAATACAAAACAGTTTCTTTTAATAAGTCCTTCTGAAGCCCTCACATGTTTTGCCAAAAATTCAAGTTATCCAATCAAATCATGCAGCCAACAGCCAACCCATCTGCCAAGATTTGATTTTTGGGTCAAACTATCAGAGTTCCGTAGCTTTCCCACTGGTAGGAGCTGCGAACCATGAAACCAAATATTGCATATAAACTGATTTTATGCTGATAATTCACCAAATTTAGAAATAATAATAATCAACTGATAATTCTAAACCAATATTTTAATCTAAGACCATAAGTATCCTTGTAATATTATCAATAGCACACATACAAAAATATTTACATACATATACTCTTCTGCATGTAAAAAAAGATGAAGTAATTTCAGATTTTCTGCAGTCGAGTATTCAGAACTAGACATGAATATTGTAAATGTACTGAACTAGAAATGAGTAGTGTATTCATGGCTGAAGAGCATCCTACGGACATGAAGAAATAGCAAATTGTAAAGCACTGAAGCTGAATTTAGCCCTGGATTTGAATTATGGTGATAATGTAAAATGGATACCTAAGTATTAATGTAACCACCTTGCTAAAAGTTGTCCAATTTCTGAATGTGCCAAACTCTGGCAACCATTCACATGATTATTCTTACGGCAAGCATACTCACAACAATTCCTTCAGTCTACACTTCACTCATTTCTGTAAGTGTCATTTTTGTTGTATTCCAAGACACAACAGTTTTTATACACAAACCATGATACGTTTTGCTTTTATATTTAAAATGTGGGCTTATGGAATTTGCCAGTAATGGAAGAAACACCGGTAAAATTTCTGCAGGAATACAAATTTTTTTAAAGCGAACAGTGAGAAAATGAATTTCTTAGGTACCCCTTGTTGCCAAAGTTTGTACATGACCAAGTCTCCACTTCTCTGGTATGTTTTTAAGTGAAAACAAATTGCTAACTACTTCAGGATAAAACTAGCACCAAAAAAAAAAAAAAAAAAAAAAAAAAAACTCAAAGATTTAAACAAGAATGTAAATGTTCTATATTTGAATGTACGACAAAAATCAAAATTTGCATTTTAAATTGCTAAGGTATATTTTCTTTTCCTATGTTTTTAATGTTTACCAACTTGCAATACATATCGATTGTTTGGAAATGTTTCTAACAAAAGAAATTAAATCCACAAACTTCACATTGTAAGCAACTTTTTTTCTTTCCGTCCGTAAAAATTACCAAATGGAACCAAATTGGTTGTGTTAACAGGTAAATACCATAAAATATATATACAAGTAGAAAGATATTGTGTATAAGTAAAAAGAAAATTATTCCAACGAATAATGACTTTGAAATACCTAAAGTAAGAAACATAAGTGAATCTTTACATGTTTAATGTGCTGTATTTATCATTGAAGGCAGTTCTTCAGAAATACAATATACTATGTATTGTCACATTTTAATGGAAAAGGAAGGAACATGCAAATATACCATACAGAGACCATACAAATTTAAAGATTAATATTTTTCCAAATGATTACTTTATGTGTTCTATTAGTGGTGATTCTTTTGGTTATAATTTTTAGCTTTTTGGTGTTCACCTTTTTATGGAGAGCTACATATTTAAATTTTTAGAATAATGCAAAAGAAACCTCTTTAAATAAATAGCATGCATAAACACAGAATAGCCTTTTCATCAATCTAATATTCAATTCAAAGTAAAGAGAAAGACATTTTAATGACATTTAACAATAATCAAATTGCTTCCATTTCCCTCTTTTAATAATTTCTATGGCAATAAGAGAGATTAACGTTATTTTCTGCTCTTAAATAACATCGTAAATTAAGACATTGCAGAAACTGTCTCTCATTATTATTTTACTAAAATTTGAAAACAGAAAGTAAACTTTTTTATTTACCTCATCACTAATTTCTGGAATATGTTCCAGCTGATTCTGTTCTTCAAATTCATGTTTAACTATAACTGCATGCAGAAAAATTTAACAAAACTATAATAATGCATACACATTTTCAGACATTTAATATTTTCAAAAAAATTCAACTTAACTGGCAATATGATGAGAAGTTAATTGATTACTTTACGATCAAGACCACATTCTTCTCAGAATTACAAATAAAAAAGAACAAACTTATTCTTTATTCTCAATTTATAATTACCTGTTGTGGATACCTCAGTAGGAACACTTTTATGATTACTATATGATGTGCTTATTTCTCTATTTATTTCATTCCCTTCCTGAAAAATAATTCAGAAATTGTGTTTCATAACATGTATTTACCTTCTTTAAATTTTCGGGGTCAATATATTCAAAAGTTGAAAAAACAAAAGATAAATATATTTTAATACATGGCACACATAATTAAAAATACTTTATTTTAACCTTCCACACATAGCTCGTTTTTTATAATATCTGGTTCTGAAATACTTTATGTTTTTACTGTATTTTTTAATTAAAATTTTCTTAGTCTCCACTAATTACTATTCACAACATTAGGGGTTACATCTACTATCTCTTACTGGACAGTTCTTAAATAATACAATAATATTAACTGCTTTTGCATTTTTTAATATTAACTGTTTTTGCATTTTTAAACTACATATAATACAAACTAAACTACTCTCCGTGGGGCAACAAAAATTAAGAGTGCCATGTCCTGCAAAGCCCTATTATCAGCTATCTTGGCAGTGGTCCCTGGAGTTCATGAACATACGCTTTGGACTAGTGGTCAGCTTGTCGCATGTGGTGTTTAGTCCCCAAGTAACCTCAGTACTCATATTATCCATCAACTCAAGGGATGAATGCCTAAAGCAGCCTCGCCCTGGCTGGGCCTTGAACCCCGGACCTGTGGTGCTGTAGCGTGACATGCTAGACACTGTGCCACTAAGCAATATAATGCCCATGATTACAGATGGCATAATTTATTACTTTAAAAATGCACACAATATTTTTATTCTTAGCAAAATTTAATTTTTAATTAATATGTTACAAAAATTTTGACAAAAACTTTGCGATGAAAAAGAACTTTTTTTTTTTTCTGTAATAAACTCCGAAGTATGGCTCCAAACATAATCCAACCTGATACTCATGACACCAAACGCAAGGCCGTTCATGCATTTTCTTCCCATTTTTATCTTTATTAAAACATCAAATGGAACACTGTCTTCTAGTTTCCTTTTCTATAAAATTTGGTAATATATAGCTGGCAAAATGCCTTTTGACAAAGCTAATACAGCCCATCACTGAAACATTTTGATGACCACATTTGAAGTTTTTATGCAAATTCTCTAGAAATGGACGTCGTACAGACGTCTAGCATTAAAATAACGAACAAATAACGAATTTTATCCTGTGCAGAAAAAGGGCAGAATTCATTATGTGCTCACTCAAATCATATATTCAAATCAAGGGGAAAAACAATTTTCTCACAATTTTCATCTGAATCAGAGAGCAGATAAACTAGATATCCCTGCTCAGATTGGAACCATATGTGAAGTGTTAATATTATTTTTTTAAAAACATATTTGTAATACAATATTTCTTTCTGATTTTATGATAAAAATAGCATTCTAACATTGCTTAAATGTTATAAATTTGCAAACCACCAAATAAACAATTTTCATTATGGTAAAGCAAAATAATGCTATCTGTTTAAGGAAAGGTAAGACTTCATTGAAAACTGTCTTATATTGATATTATGCATGAGAAAATCACAAAAGATCTTATGCAGCTGCCTATCAGCAGGCAAGCAGTAACATTACTGAACAAGTTTGACTATTTAAATCCTGGCAAATTGGCAGCTCACTTGGAAGTTTTAATGGGTTTCCCACATATAATGCAAAACAGTTTCTTTTAATAAGCCCTTCAGGAGCCCTCACATGTTCTGTCTAAAATACAAGTAATCAAATCAAATCACGCAGCCAACTAATGTGCAAAGATTTGAATCTGAGTCAAACTATCAAAGTTCTGTAGCTTTCCCACTGGTGGGAGCTGGAAAGCATAAAGACAAAATATTGTAGATAAAATGATTTTATGCTCATAATTTGCCAAATCTAGAAATAATAATAATCAACTGATAATTATAACCAACTATTTTATTCTGAGACTACAAGGATCCTTGTAAAATTACCAATTGCACACACACACAAATATTTTACATACATATACTCTTCTACAGGTAAAAAAATATGAAGTGATTTCGGGTTTTCTGCAACCGAGTACTCAGAACTAGATTAGAGTATTGTAACTGTACAGAACTCGAAAAGACTATCGTTTTCGTGGCAGTAGAACATCCTACTGACATTAAAAAATTGCAATTTGTAAAGCACTGAAGCTGAATTTAGCCCTAGATTTCAATTATGGTGATAATGTAAAATGGGTACTTAAGTATTAATGCAACCACCTTACTAAAAGTTGTCCTATTTTCTGAATGTGCCAAACTCTGGCAACCATTCACATAACCATTCTCATGGAAAGCATACTCGCAACAATCGTTCAGTTAAGCATTGCAGCCACTTCTGTAAGTGTCATTTTTGTTGTATTCCAAGATTCAACAGTTTTTATAAACAAGCCATGATATGTTTTGTCTTTATATTTAAAATATGGGCTTGTGGAATTCGCCAGTAATGGAAAAAACTTCAGTAAAATTTCTGCAAGGATACAAATTTTTCTAAAGGGAACAATGACAAAATGAATTTCTTAGGTACCCCTTGTTGCCAAAGTTTGTACATGACCAAGTCTTCACTTCTCTGATATGTTTTTCAAGTGAAAACAGATCACTGATACTAGTACTTCGAGATAAGACTAGTGAAAAAAAAAATTACTCAAAGATTTGAAGAAGAATGTAAATGTTTTATATTTTAATGTATCATAAAATTCTGATTTAATAATATAAATTTTTATTTTAAATTGCTAAGGTATATTTTCTTTTCATATGTTCATAATGTTTAAAAACTTACAATACATATCGATAGTTTAGAAATCTTTCTAACAAAAGAAATGAAAACCACGCATTTCACTGGTAAATAACTTTTTGTGTTTCTGTCTGTAAAAATTGTCCTATTGCACTAATGTGGTTGTGTTAACAGGTAAATACCATAAAATACATATATAAGTAGGAAGATAGTGTGTATAAGTAATAAGAATACTAATGGATTGAATAAATGCCTTTGAAATACCTAAAGTAAGAACATAAGTGAATCTTTATATGTTTAATGTGCTGTATTTATCATTTAAGACATCTCTTCAGAAATACAATCTAGTATGTATTTTCGCTTTTTCAAATTTTTAATGGAAAAGGAAGGAACATGCAAGTATACCATACAAAGATCATACAAATTTAAAAATTAATATTTTTCAAAATGATTACTTTATGTGTTCTTTTATTAGTGGTGATTCTTTTGCTTTTAATTTTTAGCTTTTTCGAACTTCACCTTCTTACGAGGAGCTACATTTTAAATTTTAAAAAAAATGCAAAAGAAACCTCTTTTAATAAATATTACACATTAAAAAACTCTGAATAGCCTTTAAGTCAATCTAATATTCATTTAAAACTAAAGAGAAAGACAATTTAATTCCATTTAACAATTATCAAATTGCTTCAATTTTCCTCTTTTCATAATTTTTGGGTCATTAAGAGAGATTAACGTTATTTTCTGGTTTTAAATAACATGGTAAATAAAGATATTGCTGGACCTGTTGTTCATTTTTAGTTTACTAAGATTTCAACAAAGTAAATCTGAAAACAGGAATTAAAACTTTTTATTTACCTCATGACTAATTTTTGGAATATCTTCCTGTTCATTCTGTTCTTCATATTCATGTTTAATTACAACTGCATACAGAAAAATGTATTAAAATTATAATAATGCATACACATTTTAAGACATTTAATATTTTCAAATATATTCGAGTTAACTGCTAAAACGATAAGAATTAATTCATAACTTTATATCCAAGATCAAATTCTTCTCAAAATTACAAATAAAAAAAGGCACGAATTTATTTTTTATTCTCAATTTATAATTACCTGCCAGTGGGTATCTCAGTAGGAACACTTTTATGATTACTATGTGATGTGCTTATTTCTCTCTTTATTCCATTCTCTTCCTAAAAAATAATTCAGAAATTGTGTTCCATAGCATGTATTTAACTTCTTTAAATTTCAAGGGTCAAGATATTAAAAAATTGGAAGAACAAAAGATAAATATATTTTAATACATGGCACATATAATTAAAATTATTTTATTTTAACCTTCCGCATATAGCTCGCTTTCTATAATTTCTGGTACTGAAATACAGGATGACTCTATTTCTTTAATTAAAGTTTTTTAGTCTCCACTAATTACTATTCATATCACTAGGGGTTACATCTACCATCTCTTAGTAGACAGTTCTTAAATAATACAATAATTTTAACTGCTTTTGCATTTTTAAACGACATATAATACAAACTAAACGACTCTCCGTAATGCGACAGCTGTTCAGAGTGCCATGTCCTGCAGTGCACTACTATCTGCTATCTTGATCGTGGCCTCTGGATGTGCATGAACATATGCCCTGGACTAGTGGTCAGTTTGTCGCATGCGGTGTTTAGTCCGCAAGTGAACTCAGTACTCATATTATCTACCCACTCAAGGGATGAAAGCCTAAAGTAGCCTCGCCCTGGCCGGGCCTTGAACCCCGAACCTGTGGTGCTGTAGCGTGACATGCTAGACACTGTGCCACTATAGTAATATAATGCCCATGATTACAGATGGCATTATTTATTACTTTAAAAATGCACACAATATTTTTGTTCTTAGCAAAATTTAATTTTTAATTAATATGTTACAAAAATTTTTACACAAACTTTACAATGAAACAGAAATTTTTTTTCTGTAATAAACTCTGAAGTATGTCTCCAAACATAATCCAACCTGATACTCATGACACCAAAGACACAGCCGTTTATGCATTTTCTTCCCATTTTTATCTTTATTAAAACAGCAAATGGCTCACTGTCTTCTAGTTTCCTTTTCTATAAAATTTGGTGATATATAGCTGGCAAAATGCATTTTGACAAAGCTAATACAGCCCATCACTGAAACATTTTGATGACCACATTCAAAGTTTTTATGCAAATTCTCTAGAAATGGACCTTGTAGAGACATCTAGTATTGAAATAACAAACACATAATAAATTTTATCCTGTGCAGAAAAAGCACAGAATTCATTATGTGTTCGTTCAAATCAATTATTCGTTCAAATCAAATATTCAAATCAAGGGAAAAAAAATATTTGCTCACAATTTTCATTTGAATCATAGAGCAGATAAACTAGATATCACTGCTTAGATTGGAACCATATGTGAAGTGTTAATGTTATTTTTCTAAAAACATATTTTTAATACAATATTTCTCATTTTATGATAAGAAAATAGCATTTTAACATTGTTTAAATGTTATAACGTTTGCAAACCACCAAATAAACAATTTGCATTATGGTAAAGCAAAATAATGCTATCTGTTTAGGGAAAGGCAAGACTTCAAGGAAAACTGTCTTATATTGACATTATGCACGAGGAAAATCACAAAAGCTCTTATGCAGCTGCCTATCCACAGACAAGCAGTAACATTACTGAACATTATAAGTTTCACTATTTACATCCTGGCAAATGGGCAGCTCACTTGGAATTTTCATGCGTTTCCCATGTATAATGAGAAACAGTTTCTTTTAATAAGTCCTTCAGGAGCCCTCACATGTTTTGCCAAAAATCCAAGGATTCCAATCAAATCATGCAACCAACAGCTAACCCATCTGCTAAGATTTGATTTTGGGTCAAACTATCAGCGTTCCGTAGCTTTCCCGCTGGTAGGAGCTGCGAACCATGAAACCAAATATTGCATATAAACTGATTTTATGCTGATAATTCACCAAATTTAGAAATAATAATAATCAACTGATAATTATAACCAAATATTTTAATCTGAGACCACAAGTACCCTTGTAATATTATCAATTGCACACATACACAAATATTTACATACATATACTCTTCTGCATGTAAAAAAAGATGAAGTAATTTCAGATTTTCTGCAGCCGAGTACTCAGAACTAGACAAGAATAGTGTAAATGTAATGAACTCGAAACGAGTATTGTATTTATGGCGGTAGAGCATCCTATGGACATGAAGAAATAGCAAATTGTAAAGCACTGAAGCTGAATTTAGCCCTGGATTTGAATTATGGTGATAATGTAAAATGGATACCTAAGTATTAATGTAACCACCTTGCTAAAAGTTGCCCAATTTTCTGAATGTGCAAAACTCTGGCAACCATTCACATAATTATTCTTACGGAAAGCATACTCACAATCCTTTAGTCAAGCACTTCATTCATTTCTGTGTCATTTTTGTTGTATTCCAAGATACAACAGTTTTCATACACAAACCATGATATGTTTTGCCTTTATATTTAAAATATGGGCTTGTGGAATTTGCCAGTAATGGAAGAAACACCTGTAAAATTTCTGCGGGAATACAAATTTTTCTAAAGAGAACAGTGAGAAAATGAATTTCTTAGGTACCCCTTGTTCCCAAATTCCAAAATTGTACATGTTCCCAAAATTGTACATGACCAAGTTTTCACACCTCTGGTATGTTTTTAAGCGAAAACAAATTTCTGAGTACTTCAGGATAACACTAGCACAATAAAAAATACTCAATGTTTTAGAGAAGAATGTAAATGTTCTTCATTTTAATGTATGATAAAAATCAAAATTTGCATTTAAATTGCTAAGGTGTATTTTCTTTTCATATGTTTCTAATCTTTACCAACTTGCATTACATATCGATTGTTTAGAAATGTTTCTAACAAAAGAAATTAAATTCCCGAACTTCACATTGTAATTAACTTTTTTTCTTTCCGTCTGTAAAAATTTCCAATTGTTAACTGGTAAATACCATAAAATATATATAAAAGTAGGAAGATATTGTGTATAAGTAAAAGGAATATTACTGGATTGAATAAATTCCTTTGAAATACCTAAAATAAGAACGTAAGTGAATCTTTACATGTTTAATGTGCTGTATTTATCATTTAAGGCAGCTCTTCAGAAATACAATATACTATGTATTTTCACATTTTAATTAAGAGAGGTCAATGTTCTTTTCTACTTTTAAATAATATTGCAAATTTAGATATTGCAGAACCTGTTACCCATTATTATTTTATTAAAATTTTAACAAAGTTAATTTGAAAACAGGAAGTAAAACTTTTTATTTACTAATGTTTTCATCATTTCATCATCATTAAGAGAGATTATTACGTATTTTCTTCCTTAAATAAGCATAAGTAAATTAAAATATTGAACCTGTTGCTCATTTTTATGTTACTAAAATTTTAAAAAGTAAATTTGAAAACAAGAAGTAAAACTTTTTTTATTTACCTCATCACTAATTTCTGGAATATCTTCCTGCTGATTTTGTTCTTCATATTCAAGTTTAACTACAACTGCATACAGAAAAATTTAATAAATTATAATAATAATGCATACACATTTTAAGACACTTAATATTTTTCAAATATATTGGACTTAACAGGTAACATGATGAGAAGTTAATTCATTACTTTACATCCAAGATCAAATTCTTCTCAAAATTACAAATAAAAAAGGACGAATTTATTTTTTTATTCTCAATTATAATTACCTGCCGTGGGTATCTCAGTAGGAACACTTTTTTTATGATGTTCTATATTCTGTTTTCTGTTTATTCCATTCTCTTCCTAAAAAAATAATTCAGAAATTGTGTTTCATAACATGTATTTACCTGTTTAAATTTCAGGGTCATGGTATTCAAAAACTACCAGAATAAAAGATAAATATATTTTAATACATGGAACAGATGATTAAAAATACTTTAACCGTCTGCATACAGCTGACTTTTTAAAATTTCTAGTTCTGAAATATGGGATGACTTTTCTTTTAATTAAAATTTTCTTAGTCTCCATTAAATAGTATTCAGAGCACTACGGGTTACCTCTACCATCTCTTATTGGACAGTTCCTAAATAATACAATAATTTTAATTGCTTTTGTATTTTCAAACTATATAAAATACAAATGAAACTACACTCAGTGGCCCAACAGCCTTTAAATAGCCATGACTTCAGTGCACAGATATCTGCTTTCTTGACCATGGGCCCTGGAGTGCAGGAACACATGCCCTGGACTAGTGGTCAGCTTGTCGCATGCAGTGTTTAGTCCCCAAGTGAACTCAGTACTCATATTATCTACCAACTCAAGGGATCAAAAGGCTACGGCAACCTAGCTCTGTTCCGGGGCTTGAACCCCAGACCTGTGGTGCTGTTGCATGACGCGCTAGCCGCTACGCCAAGTAGCCTATATATCTAATACAATGCGCACGATTTCGGAGTTTAAATCGCATGCAATATTTTTATTTTTAAATTAATTTAATTTTTAATTAATTTGTTTGAAAAATTTTGACACAAACTTTGCAATATAGCAGAATTTTTTTTTTAATCTGATAAACTCTAAAGTATGACTCCAAACATAATCCAGCCAGATACTCATGACACGAAATGCAAGATGCTTTATGCATTTTATCCCGATGTTTTATCTTTCTTAAAACAGCAAATGGCACACTGCCTTGTAGTTTCCGTTTTTATAGGATTTGGTGGTGTATGGCTGGCAAAATGCCTTTTGACAAAGCTAATACAGCCCATCAACTGGCACATTTGAATACTACATTCGAATATTTTATGCAAATTCTGTAGAAAATAGACCTCATAGAGACATAACGAACACATAATGAACTTTAGCTTGCACAGAGAAGGAGCAGGTATTATATTAAAATCAAGGGGGAAAAAATATTTCATCACAATTTTTCACGTGAACTGCAGCAGCAGATAAACTTGGTAAACCTGCTCAGATCGAAGTCATATGCGAAGGGTTAACATTATTGTTCTAAAAACATAATTTTAATACATTAGCTCTGATTTTATGATGATAATATAATAAAATTATAAGCTTTCTTAAATATTTTGAAATTTGCAAACCACTGGGTAAAAATATTGCAGATAAACTGATTTTATACTGATAACTCACCAAATTTTAGAAATAATAATAGTGAACTGCTAATAATAACCAATTATTTTAATCTGAGAACACAAATATTCCTTGTATTATTATCAACTGCACACACACACATATATACAATATATATATATATATTTATTAGTCTTCTACAGGTGCTTTAGTAATGTGTTAGCTTTCCTTTTGTATTTAAATTATCACTTATAAGATGTTTTTAAAAGATAAACAAATATTTATTAAAAGATAAATCGTACTCGCAACTTAATAACCTACAGGTAACGTATCCATAAACATACATAACATAACAGACATTCTTACTGCATCATCAAACGATATACATTTCAATTGTACATCATCTGAATATTTTTAGAAATTAAATAAATAAAATGACATCTGGAATTAGCTGTTGCCATTTCTCAATAGATATTCTGTCTAATAACAATAAATAATTTACACTCGTGCTTACATTCGACTATCCTAAACTTTTCAATTGTCCTCAATTGAACCAAATCTTAAAGTCATTAAAACAACAAATGAACAACAAAATAAAATAAGTAGGGAAAAAAAATTAAATATAATTAAAAAAATTCTATAAGTCCAACAGAAAGTCTCTATAGCAGAATGGTTTACGTACTGTTCACTTGGACCTTTAAGTTCGTCATCATCCTCATCATCATTTGTTTCTGCATTTTTCCAAGATTTTAGTTGACTTACATGAGCAGTTGATGTATAAAAGTGACTATATAGGCTTCTTCTAGTTGTGATATTCTATAAGTGTTATCCAGAAGTACTTCTGTCACAACCATTGGACCACGAAACTTAGGTTGAGTTTTGGTTGGTTCTTCTGTAGATTTTGAATTCCTTTTGACTACTACTATTTCTCCTTGTTCAAATGACAGAGATCCCAATTTCTTCTTGTTATAATAAGTTTTCATTTTTTCTTGCTCTCGAACAATTTTTTCTCTAGCTTCTTTCCGTAGTTTTCCAAGTTCCTTCCAAATTTCTGCTTCTTCATCAGCAAGTAACCTCAAAACTCCATCTTGAAATCGTAGCATATACCCATGAAGTATTTCAAATGGTGTTTTCCCAATAGTTTTATTGATTGTGTTATTCAAATTTCTCTCAACTTCTTTAATTCTTTTGTCCCAATCCTTTTGATCTTTACTTTTCACTGATGTTACTATCGTTGATAAAATTGTTCTGTTCAATCTCTTAACCATACCACTCCCTTGTGAGTGGGAGGTTGAATTTAATGTATGAAGAATTCCCTTTTCCTAGCAAAAGCTTCGAAATTCCTCTGAAGTAAAATAAGAACCTCGATGTGATATTATACAATCTGGTAATCCAAATTCTTCTATGAAACTCAGCAATGATTTCAGTAAGTTTTTCGAAGATGTGTTTTTCATAGCATACAATCGAACGAATCTGGTCATATTATCAATGATGACTAACAATTCCTTGTTTCTTTTAGAACTTGTGATAAAAGGTCCAAGATGATCATTGTGTATTGTTGCAAAAGGTCTGCAGCCTGGGGCAATAGTATGCAAAAGACCCTGTCTTTTTTCACTTGGCATTGAAACACACTGGTATATGTTGATGAACATATCTTTTTATAGCAGGAAACCAGTTCCTTTCTTTGATTTTTGAGACAGTCCTATCAAAAGCAAAATGTCCCTAAGGTCATGAAACTTCACAACTATGCTTTTTCTCATGCTTTTAGGTACGACGTATAATAACTTCTTCTTTTCTCCCTCCTCCACAATATGGAAAAGTCTATTCCTTTTTCAAAATATAATTCTCCACATTTTGATTTTCTTCTTTGGTTCTTTCTTCTTGTCTTTCTTCAAAATCATTATTAATTCTCTTAACTTTTCATCTGCATGTTGTATCAAAGAAGTTGTTCATCTAAATTTAAAATCAGACAAATTTCTAAATTATCTTCATCAAAGTATGCATGGTATCTGATGAATCGATAACAGGAGCTCTACTGATTGCATCGATATGAGACATTTTACACTCATGTCCATAAATTAAGGATAATGCAAAATCAGGCAAAGGAAGAGTTAGAAGCAAAACAAATTTGACTTATTTGTAAAGCTTATTTATTAAACAAAAGATAAAGAGCAAAAAAAGATGCTATATGTTTGATATTATTACAAAAATTAGCGATTTTTTCTCCCTGGAGCATATTATTAAAAAAACCTATTCACAAAAATCCAATATTACATGGTTGGTATGATTGTTAATACACTGTATGTCTCCCAGACGATGCAATACAGTCCGTACAACACCTAGGCATGCTGAGTATCAAATTATCAATCTGATCTTGGGGAATATTACACCACTCAAAAAGCAATGCTCTCTGAAGTTCCGGTAGACATGTAGGAGGAGGTTGACGGGCTGCAACTCATCGACCAAGCATGTCCCACACGTACTCTACTGGATTCAAGTCCGGTGAGAAAGCTGGCCAGTCCATACGGGTGATATCCTCCGATTGAAGGCATTAGCTTATGATGTTTGCACCGTGCGTTGTCATCCATAAACACAAATTGTACGCCCATGGCGCCCCGAAACAAACGTACACGTTGTTCCAGGATGACGTCCCGATAGATTTGGCTTGCCATGGTTCCAATTTGAACATGCAGGTTAGTTCTGGAACCCAGAAGAATTCCACCCCAAACGAGCCTTCCTGCACCACTGTAACGGTGTCATTCAATGATGTTTTCTTGGTGGTAACGGGTACCTGGAGCTCTCCATATGAAAGTCCGGCGAGAATCAGACTGCAAGCTAAACCTGGACTCATCGGAAAACATCACACAAGCCCACTGTTGCAGTGTCCACAATGCATACTCTCTACTCCAGGCTAACCACAGGCAACAGTGAGTTGCAGTAAGTGGAATGCATCTGGCAGGTCTACGAGCATATAGACTAATCTGCCCTAAGCATCTTTACAAGGTCTGCCTTGAAATTGTCGTACCAGTGGCTGAAAAGAGCTGACGAGACAGGTCTGAGGCTGTGCTCCGCCTGTTTCTTTTGGCAGTAACTGCCAAATACCGGTCCTCATTCGGCGTTGTAACTCTGGGGCAACCTGTGCTGTAATGTCTACTCACATTACCATCATCTTGGAATCGTTGCCAAAGCCTGGAGATGACACTCTGGGCAATTCCAAGTTTGTCTGATACTTCCAGTTGGGTACGCCCACATTCCAGACGGCCGATAATTCTACCACGTAAAAAATCATCCAAATGCATCCTTTGTGTCATAAATATTCAGTTATTGCACTGAAATGCTTATAAAGCGCCTGCGAACAATTTTACTTCTTTGCCTGTATTTCTTATATATCACTTTCTTACACTCTTGTCATTGTGACGTACCATCGGTGTCATCTGGAGACTTCCTGAAATTTGCATATGATTCTTGAAAATGTGTGTAGTGATTTTACAGGTGATATATTTATTTTAGTTTCGATTTCCGGGTGACTCCGAATTATCCTTAATTTATGGACATAAGTGTAATTCCTGATTTGTGGTGTATTTCAAAATTATATTCTTGAAAAAGATACTCCAACGAGCAATTTGGGGATTGCTTTTCATTGCATTCAAATCAATGCTTGGCAAAACAAAAAAAAAAAAAAAAAAAAAAAAAAAAAAAAAAAAAAAAAAAAAAAAAAGAGTCCAGACAATTGCCATTAGCTCAAGTGTAATTCCAGTGTCTTTCAGTTGTCCCTTACTGTCAAGATGCCATTTGCTCAACCAGTAGACAAGTAACCTTTGCCTCATTTTCTCAACCCCCATGAATTTGATCACATCCAGTAGGGACTTCTGTTTGAGCCTTAGGGTTGTACAAAGCTAAAATTGGCTGATGATTGCCGTTCAGTCATTTTTGGGAAGCTTTGATCTTTGACTTTCTTCCCATCTGTTTGATTTTCTTAGTTAATTTGAGTCAATGGTCAGCTTTAATGGTAAGTTTAAACTTGTTCAACCAAGAAAGCTTGTCGTGAATGCTTTTAGGTTCTGGGAATTTGATATACTTCAACTTTGCAAATTCAGTTTTATTTGAAAACCCTAAATTATATTCTTGTTTGGCAATTTCAAAACTTCAGGGTTAGTTTAGCACGTAGTGCTTCAAATACTTTACTTAATTTCTGAATCATTTCTTCCAAAGTCCTTGCTGGAACAATTATATTGTCAAGGTAGCACAACACTTCTTTATTACATAATGTGGATAATGCATGATACATCAATCGTCGAAATTCTGCAGGAGTATTAGTCAACCCAAAAATCATTCTTTCAAATTGCCCACTTTCATCCGGTGTTACGAAAGCAGTTTTCTATTTTGCACTTTCAGTTAGTAGAATCTGTATATATCCGTGTCCTAAATCTAGCATTGTAAACAAAATACACTCATACAATCGTTCTAATAAATCATCTATTTTAGGCAGGGAAAATTTATCCTTTATAGTTTGGCTATTGAAACGCCTATAATCAACAGCTACTCTGTATTCACCCATCTTTTTCTTTATTAATATGACAGGACTAGCATATGGGGATTGCGTTTCTGTTACAATTTTATTTTCTTTTCATTCTTGGACTATTTTTTTGATCGCAGCTCTTTCAGAGGCATTTGTTCTATAAGGCTTATACATACTGGCTTTGAACCTTCGACTTCCTTAATGTCCATTTTTATGAGATCTGTGCACCCTAGTTCTGAAATATTTAGTGCGAAGCAGTCTCTGTATTCATTCAGAAGAAGCAGAAGAAGCAGTAACTCTTACTGGTGATCAATGTCTAGATCCGAGCCAATTTTAACTTTGCTTAAACTTATAGTAGCTTTTATGTTGTTAATATTTTTCCTTTTTGCTGGGTTCAAGATCAATTCAGAAATTTCAGTATTTAAACACAATTGCTCTACCAACACACTAACACTTCTATCGCCAATGTTAATCATTGGTATACAAGTTTCGACATTTTTAATTTCTAATAAACAGCCGATACCTTCACAATTTTCTATCATAATTAATCCATTATCTGCAAAATCTGTTTCAGAACTGACAAGACTGATCGTATTTTTCTCTAATTCATTTGCCTCACGAGCTTTAAGGCAGACTCGGTTTATTTTTTCATCAATTTGGAGGTTACTAAATAGTTCATCTTCTCGATATCTGAAGTGAAATTTTTTTCCTATTCTGACATAAGTGATATGAGGGAGATCAAGCCATGTCCATCCGATGATTAGATCAACTGGCTGTGCATTATCAGAAACACGGTATATATTTAAGCCTTGATTTTTTACATTATCAACTTCGATATCGGGATTAATCATTCCTATAGAAGTCACTGCAGGCACCCTTTGATTTCCAAAACCATCAATTCATTCATAACAAGTTTGGGTTTAAGTTTCTGAGCAACTGAAGCCCTTAAGAGACAACAATAACTCCCCGAATCAATTAAAGCCTGTACTTCTTCAGAATTATTCAGTTTTGCTTTCTTCAAATATCAATTGCTCTCTTTTAAATTTTTGCCCACTTGCTCAACAGAATAATTTTTTTCATTTGAATGATTATTTTCAGCTTTAGTACCACAATTTTTAGCTTTATGAACTGTTTTATTACATTTTCGGCATATTACTACTGGTTTGGGCAGCGGACATTCCTTTGAAATGTTATAATGTAAATATTACAACTGAAGTATTTTGGTTCACCTTTTCATAATGTGTGATACCGTAGAGTTCTTTCTTTTCGTTGATTGTAGCAACTGGACCATCTTTAAAGGAGTGCCGTTTGTCGGAAGGCCCTTCTTTACCCGGTTGTTTATTGTTGAAAGTTGACTTCAAGGTACCATAATCATCTAGTTTTTCAACTAGATCAGTTGGTGAAATCAAGTTAGACCAGACGTCAATAAAATGATCTTTTACTTCTGGAGACACTTTATGTTTTATTCGATCTGCTATAATCAGGTCGCTCAGTTTCTCAAAAGTGTCTATTTTAAATCCAATTACCCATTCATTAAGAAAATTTCTTAACTCATGCACAAAATTCTTCCATGTGTTTCCTACACTCTTAACCCTCTAAGTGGCAAGGCCGTATATATACGGCCTAGAATATTTTTTGTGATATCTGTAAGAATGTATATTAAAATATATCATATTAAAATATGTCAAAGAAATTAAGGCAATATATCAAAAGAAAACAAATCCAGGTATGAAATACCAGGAGAGTTTTTACATTAAAATCCAAAAAGTAATTTGTTCTCATAGTAATTTGGGAAAATTTGTGCTTTCTTAGCAAAAACCCTGGCTGCTTAGAGGGATAATATGCATAACAAATTGTTGGCGAAATTTTTCAGGTGTCATCTTGTACCGTTTTAATAAGATCATTTTAACTTCTTTATAATCGTTTGCAATCTCATCAGTTTCTCTGGCGATTAACTGAGCAATGTCATATGGCAATAAGCCAATGAGACGAGTAACACATGTATTTTCTGGTATTTCAACTTGTTTAGCCAAACGTTCAAACATGATTAAATACAGACTGATATCACTCTCATCAGGTTTAAATTTTTTTACGAAACGAGGAAGCTCTAACTTTGGATTCATGTACATACCACTAGCATTTTCATTGGTGTCAGAATTTGTAGATCTACTTTCTGCTTCAATACGTAATTTTTCAATTCAAATTCCCTTTTCTACTTACATTTTCATTCCTCATATTCTTCTTTTCTCCTGCATTCTTCATCTTGACGTTTTTGTTCTTCAATTTCTTCATTTCACCTATGTTCTTCAATTTCTTCTTTTTCTTTTCTTTCATTTATTATAATGTTCAACAATTCTTTGGCATATTCTTCATCATACTCTTTGATAGCCAAAATTATCTTTTTCAAATTGTTCATTTTATGACTTTCATTTACATCTTCTCCCAATTCTTCAGCTAATATTCTTAAATCATATTTCTTTGCTTTACCAAAAATAGACATTTTCGTATTTATTAAAATGCAAATATATATACATATGCTATTATTATTAACTTCCAATTAGATAACTTAGTAGAACAAAGTTATTAGTATGTTATAAGTTTGTTTGGCGTTCTGAATATATTTCAAAATTTAAATAAATGGGAAAAAAATTAAACTCTTTTTCCAAAACAATAAAAAAATACCAAAATTTAATTTTATAATAAATATATTACATCAATCAATGCACATACCTTGAAATTCAAATTCTTTCAACCTATTTAAGTGTAGATTTAGTTTCAGAATAATCCCGCTTCTTATTTCTGTTATCTTCCTTTTGTATTTAAATTAATCACTTATAAGACATTTTTAAAAGATAACCAAATATTTATTAAAAGATAAATTGTACTCGTAACTTAATAACCTACAGGTAACATATCCATAAACATACATAACATAACAGACATTCTTACCGCATCGCATTAACGATATACAATTCAATTGTACTTCATCTGAATATTTTTAAAAATTAAATAAATAGAATGACATCTGGAAATTAGCTGTTGCCATTTCTCAATAGATATTCTGTCTAATAACAATAAATAATTTACAATCATGCTTACATGTGCTTTATTTATTATTTAAGACTTCTCTAGAAATACTATACACTATGTAGTTTCCCTTTTTTAAAGGTTAAATTAATGGAAAAGGGGGATATGCAAGTACACAATAAACATATAATGCAATTTTAAGGAATCTTATTTCAGTAAATATTACATCAACAATGAATAGCCTTACTGTCATTTTAGACTCTACCATTCATTCCAAAACAAAGAGAAAGCCATTTTTATTATGATTTATATTTACCTAATTTTACCCCTTTTTCGCAGAGCCTGTTGCTCATTTTCATTTTACTAAAATTTTTAAAAAGTTTATTTTAATAAAAGAAATAAAACTTTTTGTTTACCTCGTATCTAAGTTTTTTAACAACTTTCTGTTGATTCTGTTCTTCATACACACGCTAACTACAAGTGCATAGAGAAAAATTTAATATAATTACAAGGATGCATACGTAGATTCACAAATTAATTTTTTTAATAAATCTGATTTAATTAATAATATGAGTAGTAGTTTGTTATTTTTCATATTCTAGATAAAAATCTCTCAAAATTAAAAGTAAACAAAGATAAATTTATTTTTCACTCTCAAATTATAATTACCTGTTGTAGGCATCGCAATCGAAGCTCCTTTATCAATGCCATCTGATGTGCTAATTTCCCCATTTAAATATGCTAATAATCCTATAAATATTGAAAGAAAAAACGTGTGTAATTTGCATAATTTCATTTTTTAAAATTGCATTAAAATTTACAACTAACAATTGGTGAAAGACTTTATGCTGAACACAATAAAGTCTTAATATAGAAATTTAATTACAACTAAATTTTTACAATATTTCTAAAATAGTTGACAAAAAAAGGGGGATACATATGTTAAAAGAAAGATTAAATTAAGCAATTTCTTAGTAATAATTTTTATACTTACACAGATTTTTTACTTCTTCAACGATTATCAATTACCGAGTTACAGTTAAGAAAATTCTTCATTATTTAATATATAACAATTCCTATTCCTGCTAATTTCCTATAGTTAAAAAACCTTTTAGCAATTATTAAGAACATATATACTTTATTTAATAAAGTCACCACAGACTAAAAAAGGTAATTGTAGGACTCCAAAATTTGGAAACTTAGGGCCTATGCTTAAGACAGTAACCAGGCTCTAACAATTGTCCAAACAGAGTTTACCTCTTTTATTCCAAAGACAATGGCAATCTCAGAGTGCTTAATTTCCTACACCTATGCCACTGTAATAATGTTAAGACATTTTTACTAACAGGAAATGATACTTTGGACCAACTTTTAAGCAGTTGTGACTATTTTTTTTTTTTTTTTTTTTTTTTTTTTTTTTTTTTAATTTATTCTTAGAAAATGGTTAAAACAGACTCTCATAAATTTACCTGATCATTACGAAATTTGTGTTCCGTCATTGTTCTTAATGATAAATGGATTCAATGCTGAAACAACATGGTCTCCTTTCCAAATGTTGACACAGAAGGCGTTATTTTATCAAACAAAAAAAAGCACTACGGGAAAGGTAAAAGGCAGAAGTAACATCTAGAGGTCAGTCTTTCATTATGGAGCGGGGAGAATTTTATTATAAAACTTGAATGCAAAAAACGATGTTACACTTTGTAGCTTTTAAGTCCACATTTAGCCTAGAAATGCCAGTGTGTTTCCCCTTTCTGAATGTTATAGTACCTTGCATTTAATGCTGGCTCATGATGAAAACTGTTTTAGTAGGCAGTCTTCCTCTAATCTAGTAATTTAAATTTCCTGAAGTTTCTGGGGGAGGACATATTTTTCTCAAGACTAGCAGTTATTAGGTACAGCTACCTCTATTTGCCATCAGTGAGCTTTATTTCTATTAACAAATTACCACTAAAAAGAAAGATCATAATCTACTCAGAGTATATTTAACCCTCTGACTGCTCAATTTGTGAACCGAAATCACTTCCCTTCCCCCCCCCATATTTTAAATCTATATATAACTGAGAATTGAAAAATGCACCTTTTCTTTCTAGAAAATATTCTTTATACAAATTTTTATCATGAGAAACTACGTTGCCAGAAAAACCAATTTCAGATGTTATCACCAAAAAAAATTCTTTTTTAGAATAAATTTCAGTCGAATTACAGTTAATTTCTATTTACTGCATAATAGAAAAAAGTAAAATGTATAAAATTTAAGAAAATATAAAGAACTGAGGGGAAAATGCCTTAGAAATGCAGTTTAGTACGACAGAACTCAAAACAGGGTTCCAGGCAAAGTCTAACTTCACAGTCATTGCACCAGATTCAATAAATTTAATTTATAATGAATCTAATTAATAATTCAATAATTTACTTAAATAATCGAGAAAATTGCTGAACGTTTTCAGCAGCCATTTCTTTAAGAAAAAAGTGGCAAAAAGTGAAGTGTGAGCGCTAATACCACGTGCCTTTAAATGCCGCAATTTAGTGGACAACTAACGATATCTGTTGGCCAAAACGTAAACTAAATGCCTAATACTGTATATAATTTATTTCAATGGTTAAACGGGGGAAAAACGGGATGCGCTCCTCAATAAAGAAAGAAAAACATATGACCACGGGATGAACAAATTTTGCTATATTTGAGTTGTCCGTGGAAATCGCAAGATGATCAGTCAGAGGGTTAAGGGTGCCTCTTGGATTATCGGTAAGTTGTTGTTTCATTTATCGCAAAGTTGTTGTTTCATTTATGGTAACCTGAGTAGTTGAATGTTACGGAAACCCTATCACGACATTATTGGCTGTGTGGTGCGATGAATTTGAATGATGGGAAAAGATTTGTAAGGGCTTATTTGCGTGTTAGATGTTGGTTAGGAAGTATAGTAAAAAGTCTTTAATCTGGACTCGTCAGGATTTTGGCGATTCCGGATTAGGGGTTTTTCCGGGTTATAGACCATCAATTTAAATCTGGCAAGATAGCATGCAGAAATTATAAAATTAAAAATATTAAACCTTAATTTATGAAATAAAGAGCAATTACGGTCTAAAAGGTATCAAAATTTACACGAAAAAAGCTTAATATTTATTTTACTTTATTAAACATTTCTTTCAATGTGCACATGCGTAAAACATACATTATGCATAGCTGAAATTAGAAAATTGCAACCAGAAAAGTATTTGATGTGTATTTGTGATATTTATAATGACGAGAAATTTGATTTAAATCATATCAGAGTACATCGAGACGAAACACTACATTTAGTAAGGAATTTTAAGCCAAATAAAATAAAAACATCTCCCCTGAAGATAAGGATAGTGCTGACAGATCAACTTCCAGTCCATTGCGTGCCGCAACGTTCCCCCCCCCCCCCGCCCCTGAGAGCAGCATGAAATTTATAAACAGATTTTGGAATAGTCAGAGAAATAAAGGATATGCCTTTATCCCTTTTTTGCAGCAATTCCACTTTTTGTTTGATGGACGTCGAAACATACTTTCGCTTTGTAGATCCTTTGGCAGCTCCAGCATCGGAAATTCTATTTGACATAATCGAAAGTTCAAGTTTACTTTTATAAAATTGCTCTAACAGTCTGCAAAAAATAATAAGCCGGATCCAATTAGAAGATTAAGGAGCAACGCAATCTGCAACATTAACTGAAATAGATAATTAGATAATTTTTGCTTAGCTTATACCGTCCGTTGCACATTAAATGTGTATGCATAAACGTATTATGCACATGCGCATAATACCATAAATGCATTATGTGTGCATGTGCAGAAAGTTTGTAGCTTTGAGGTCCGGATTAAAGACTTTTGACTGTACTATGTATGTTACTACTGCATCAAAAAAAGACAGAGAAATAAATCCTTTTAAACACCTTTTTAAACCCAAACGCAGATATAAAAAGTCTCAGACTAAATTGGACAGGGTAAACTCCTAGTATACAGAACGGCTTTGGCACGATTTGATTTGTCGCCAACACCAAAATGACTTGTTTACTGCTCATAATAATGTCACCAAATTCCATGTGTACTTATATACTGGGATTAAACCCAGAACAGAAAACTGTGTATATGGCGCACACAAATAATTTTTATAACTAAAAAATTAGTAAAAGAAGCACTTCCTCAAAGAACCTGGTAAAATGTAAACACTGCAAACAATGGAGATAATAATTCAAACCTGGTAATTCAATAGATTTGCATGTTCGAAGGTAGCAACCATCCTCTAATGCTGTTTTTGGTTCTTTACATTGCTGTTCATAATTTTGCATGTTGTAGCATCACACTTTTTGTTTGCCTTTGCAAGTGTAATATATTCTTCACTTATTCACTATTATTTTGCTGATAACCATGTTATCTTTTATGAATTTTTTAACAATGACTAAATGGAATTACTTTCATTTAATTAAAGAAGTTGTCTGCAGTGGTGCATGTCTTAAAGATTACTCCTTCATCGAAACCATGTTCCCAGCAAACAATAGATTAGTGGAGTTTCCGATGCCGCTGATTAAGAAGCACGTGTCAAAGTGAACAATTATGACTGACGAATGGCAACATATTTATTCTTAGGCAAGCAATGGAATTATGTGCATCAGAACGTTAATCACTTCACAAATTTCATTTATCTGGCAACTGGTACAAATATCCAGTCCAAAGAATTGAGCAGGTAGTTTCTAATAGTTAAAATTACAAAAACAAAACCAAAAAAAAAAGTTATCTTCATAATGGCAAGATGAATTCACCAAACTTTAAACACAATTAAAGATTATATCGTTTTAGGGTAATACATCTCTGGCAATTTACTTTATGACATAAGGTTTTAAAAAAAGAGGGAGGGCAGCATAAAAATCTGGAAAAAGAAATTCAATATTGCTAGGTATAAGTATACAAATCTTTTAAAACTACTTTGTAATAATAGAATTAGAAATATGTTTCAGTAATAATACTAACATTTACTTTACTTTTTTATGCTAATCTTTACTTACAGGTGTTTAACATCATGCTTTTCTACCAACCTGAATTGAATTGCATTAAATTTTAATCAGCTTATTTTTAACTTTATATGTTTAATACCATGCTTTTCTGCTAACTGAACTTAACTTTACGAATTGTTATGTTTAACACACTAAAATTGACTTGTGTGCTTAATACGTTTAATCAGCTAATTTTTAGCTAAACTTGCATATGCTTATCACTCAATGCACCAAGTATCATGTTCATGTTAAATTTGACTTAGATATCCATTATTATATCATGTTTCATTTCAAAACTTAAACGTATATCACTCATACCTTTACTGTTTGCAAGCCTGGTGACAAAACAGGTAATGTCACCAACAGGTTCTTTCTAGAAGAAAACCCCTAGTAAATTCCTAGCATTTACAATACTCAAGATGCTTTTAATAACCTGAAATATATTTTTTCCATTTTACGATTCGGTTCTTTGTGGATGAAAACCCATTCCTTTCATAGTAATCTACAGGAAACAGTAACTTATATAATGACCACCATCTCAGTTTAGATGGCACATGATGCATAACTGTACTTACGTGTAACTAAAATCAGCACCAAAAACCTTTTGTACTATTATCAAAATTATTCATATAATTATTGACTGACAGCTTAACTTTAAAATAAAAATCAGGTCTGATGGAAAAAATTTTTAAAGAAAAAAGTGACATATTCCCTTACAGTATATGTACTCCAGT